AGGTGGAAAGCAGAAAGTCATTACTTTTCAATAATCCTGGATATTTAACTCACTTTTCTGAGAAGGTTGTCAGACACCAGTCTGCGTGGTAAATGGGTGTTGTCATGTGGAAAAAAATAATTTTTCTGCCTGAAAACTGTGTGTTAGCAATATTGCGATTCACAATGTTATGCTAGTTGATGGCAGTTCCCTGTTTTCTTCTGATTAACCTGTGCCTTTGATGCCCTTCCATATAGGTCACTTCAGTTTTCCCATCTAATAGACCATTAGGCACTAATTCTCTAAGCAGCTTGGGCTACCAGAATTCTGAAATAAGAAAACTTTCTGAAAAAAGAACCTTTTTGTCATATTCGTGAAGGCAGAGCCAGCTTTAGGCACAGGCAAAGGTGGTAATGGTTTAGGAAGCAAGAGGATCTCAGCAACGAATACCCACAACCTTACTAACTTCTTTGTGTATGGCTAAACTTAATGTGGCTGTAGAGAAAAGAAAGTGTATGGGGATCACAAAGAGTTCAAGGAGAAAGTTCCACCACTGATCCTTAGGATGAACTTTGAAAATGCTAGCAGAAAGGGGAATTAGATTACCACAATGTGGTGATCAATAAACTAATCCACACCAAAACTAAACTGCAAAATTAAAAAAGGTAAGACACATGAGTTTGATGTACCCACTGCTCTATACATAGTTAGGAACCAGCCTTTGGGAGGCTGTGGCAAAGAGGGTTTCCTTAAGCTAGTTTGCCCTTGAAAGAAAGTGCAGAGAACCATAGCCAGAGTTGTTCTACCTCGCTGTGAATACACACTCTGAGATGTCATCAGAAGAGCAAAGAGACCTTTTCAATTCTTTGTTGATAATATGACATAACGATAGCTTAATGTTTTCTATTTCTAACTGCATGCAGACAAAACAGGATATCAAGGCAGGGAGAAAACATATACATCTGTTTTTATTTTATTTTAAGTGTAATCATTTAAAATAACTCACAGGGAAAATCAACAATGACAACAAAAGCCTCTGTTTAGGTTTAAAGCACGTGATTAGCAAGCTGGGTGTTAAAAGTATTTTAGAAGCTTAATGGACCCATGGAAAGAATCATGGTATTCTGGTATCAACTGTTCTGCATAGAGAGGATGTCTGAATTACTACTAGTTTATAAGCCAACACCTGCTTTATGCAAATTAAAATGCACTGTATTTAGCTGCAAAGTTAACATGCCTCTTATAGTAATATTGCAAATTCCATAACTGCTTTGCTATAATATGGCCCAGTTACAGATTCTATAACCTAAATAATGTCTTAGAGATTTAGGAAGTGTTTAAACTATGCATTAAATTAAATACATAGGAGTTAAAAAGGAAAAGTCCACCACAGATGCAACCTAATTAATAAGCACTGAATTGATTTTGTACTAATATTTTGAAGTGAGATGTGCTTTCTTGTTTTCCATTTGAGTGGTAATTTGTGTCATTTATTAAATAGTCTGTACGTATCTGTTTCTGGAGAATGTAATTAATAATTAAGATAATTAACTGAATCAATTCAGAGTTACCTTGTCTTGTATTACATTAAGAAAAACATATACATCTTCTTTCCTCAGTTTACTATGCCTAATTAATTGGTATATGACAAATTCAAACAGTACTTTGAATGAAATCTCGGATTGGGGGCAGCAAGCTGGGAAGCTATCTGCAGGTAGAATGTTCTTTTTGGCGTGGTTGCATCTGTGAAGTTACAGACTTAAGCCAGAACATCTGAGATCATGAAAATTAGACTAATGCGATGAATGGAGTTGATTTTAGTTGATTGCATTACACAATCCAACCCACTCACTGAAACCCATGAATAAGAATTTAATTTAAAATGACAGGTGAAGCATTTGCTCGGCTTTGAACAGGGAATGATGAAGGTGCTTAAGGGTATAGTCAGCCCTTGTAAGCTAGTTAGATATAGTCCAAAACTGGAAGAAAAAAACCAAAAGGAAAAAAAAAAAACCAAACCCACCCTGACAATTTGGTAGAGGTTTGCTGCCATATGGCCTGAAACTAGTGGGTTGTTGTTCTATAGAATCAGAACCTATCCAGAATATCTTCAGAGAGCTGTAGAAATAGGCAGGGAAATAGAAAAAAAAAATTAACATCACAAGTTAAATAGATCTTAACCAGCAATTGAATTCAAGAGGGCAAGTGTTTTCTAATGAGTACTGCATCTTACTCTTCAAAGACCAGTGATTATGTTGCAGTGTTATTTCTCAAGTCGAGTTCACTTTGATGTTAAAACACATTTGCAGTACATATCTACGTGTATATCTAGTTATTTTTTTTAACTATTGTGTCTTTTCTGATGAAGTATCTTAAAACTCTAGGAAATTAGAAGTGTGTTCTGTCTCCCCTTGCACAGGGATGGGATGGGGGAGATAGACAGAGGAAGAAAATTTCTCTTTCTTTTTTTTTTTTCATCTTAAGCAGCTCCACAGGGATAGAGCTTTTAGGAGCTGGGTAGAGGATTTAGCAACACATCATGCACAGCTAAATCATGAACTGGATGCAAGAGCCTTGTGTAAACACGTGTAAGTCCACGTGAGTTTAGTGTAACCAAAAGGAAAGTGCTAGGGCACTCTCTCCTACCTGTCAAAGTGAACACATGTTGTTCTGCCCTGGAACTCCTCAGAACACATGGAAATGTTCTGTCCGTCCATATTGTCTGAAATAAGGCTGAAGGTATCCAGCTCATGAAGAGTAACTACCTCAAGGAAAGCCATGAGAGCTTGGCTATGGCAAGAGCACTCCTTTAAGCAGTGGAGTGTGTATTGCAGTGTATTGCTGCAAATAGCAGTGACTGGTGTGTGTGCGGGCACATGCTCATGTGAGGTAGGTTTTGGAATTTGGAGGTTTTGGATTCTTGCATCCATGAAACCAAGGACCAAGAAATAGAAACAAACCGGATGCATAAATAGCGCCTCTTCTGTTTGTTTGTTCTTCAGGAAAATAAAGGAAAGTTTGGAGTGCTTTCCTGTTAAACTCAATAACTTGATCCACACCCTGGTACAGATGTCAGTGGCAGGCTCTGCAAAGCCTCCAGCTCCAGAGACTGTCCCCCAAGAATGGATGATGCTGGACACCGAGAAGTCAATCGCAAGAGCCACCATTTTGGGATTCAGCAAAAAGTCTGACTGCGTATGTATCATGTTCTTTGCTTACCCTCGTTTGCCTTGATCTTTAATGACCCCTCTGTGAGCTGATATACTCTCCCTCCTCCTTTATAGAAGATGTGCTTGTGCCACATTAAAAGGATCACAGGATGAACAGCAGTGCCATAAGGTACCGGAGAGAAAGAACACCAGGCAGACAGCTATTAGCGGGGAGCCATTAAGGAGAACAGTTCATGCCCTATAGTGAAAAATAAATCAAGAGCTAATTAAAGCATCCAGAAGGAAAGCACGGCACAAAATTAGGAAGCCTAATAGAAATCGGAGGCTGTTATATGATGCTTTAATGGTGCATTATTAGTTTTCACACACTGCAGTGATCTTCCAGTGTTTAAGTTGTATGCTATCCAGGCAAGTTTCTCTTTCTGTGCAGCAAAGACTATAAATTACAAACTGAATTCTGTGGCACTTGGCACTACATTAAAGCAAGGTTTTTCTTTGTTAAAATCACCCTATATTTTCTCTTGTACATTTTTTTTAATGCACCTCTCTGATCATTTCTCTATTCTGCCTCTTCCTTTTCTCCAATACAGCTATATCTAGTCCAGGTGGTACAAACCTGCAATGTGGTCACTTTTGTGGAAAAATCATTCGTCCAGTTCTCAAAACTTCACAGCCATCTCCAGAAGCAATTTCCATCACATGTCCTCCCAGAGTAAGGCAGCATATTAGCAAATGTTATTCTGCTGTTAAATGGTTCTCTCTGTGCACAGATAAAAATGTGAGAAAATGTACGGCAGACATATTTTTAGAAATACAAAGGCAATGCCACATATTCTATCAAGCCTGCTATTCAGCCCCAGAAGAAACTGAATCATAGACCTTTGTGACAGTCTAACTTTTATATATTTTATTGTGCCTTTTTTTGTAATGGGAGGAGAAAGGGGGGAACAGCTATTCCTGAAATCAACAGGTAAGTGGTATTGACTTCATTAAAGGCATGATGGGGCCTTTAATAGTTTTTATTTTCTGCATGATGCTGATCAAAACTTATAGCAAAATCCATATATTAAAGCAATGTAGGAACGTTCACACTGGGTTAGAGCAGAAACAAGCCTGACACTGGCAGGCGTGATCAACCTTTTTACAAAAACATGCACACACTCCCAGCTGAGAAATATGCAATAATCTTATGTACTATCCTGGCCCCAAAACCCAATTCTTTGTGCCTCGCATCATTCAGTTTAATATCTCTTGAAAAATTTTCTATCGTTAGTTGCGATAATTCTGAATATTACTTTTTATCCATGTGCATGTCTATTCCTGCTTTTCATATCTTGCATCTTGCTTCTTTACAGTTTCCTGGGACAGTGAGTCCCACAGTTTGTTTCTGTCTTATGTAAAACAGCTTTGCTTTGTGTAGTGATTGTCCACGTCTTTGGTAATATGAATGGAGTTATGTATTCTACAAATATCTTATGCATACGTCGCTGAGACCAAAGTAGTCCTCTCTTAGACAGTCATGCTGACTCACCTGATACCAACCCCTCTTCAAGCTTAATCTACAATAAAACATAAAGCTGGCCAAATGGACAAGCAGTTTACTTGAAACATGCTGAGATTCAAGTGATATGCTTGAAAAATAGAAAGGTCTTTGAGGGTTGACCTGAAGTAAATAGCCACAAACAACATAGTTTTGACTTAAAAAATAAAGTCCATGAATTTCAGATGCAATTTGATGTTCCCCCAAGCTTGCAAGAGGCATTCAGTTAAATGGCTTTAAGTTAGTTAATTCTAGAGAATCTTTCTCCTACCTGAGGGGATTTTAATTGACTCCAATTTGACTCATTATGACTGGCTCACGTGAACTGGTTTGCATCAGTTGGTCGGAGTCAGAATTTCACTAAACACTGAAAGTACTTGAATCATGGTTTTGATTTGGAGATATTTGCACGCTAACTATTAGGTTGTAAAATAAAATATTTAACAAGTACCTAGTTACAATTTTTTCCTGTGGTGAGCAGAGCCCTTTGAAGGAAAATGCATTTCTCTTTAGAAACGCGTAGACCTCAGAAACCCTGTAGTGAATTTCAAAAATAGTACTAGCCGTCTTTCAGATAAATCTACCTTTAATAAAATCCCTCACAACATTTTCACTGCAAAAGAGAGTTCCAGAACTCCAGAGGGTTAATCTGCGTATAGTGAAGCTGTGTCTAAGAGCTCCGGAGCTTTATTGTCATAATTCAGTCCCAGCAGTAACCTGTCACTGTATGATCTTTCCCCAAGACTGTGATAAAGTAATTCATTTTATGATGTTTCTTTATATGTATGTTCTTTAATGTTAAAGTTTTGGGTTGTTTTCTAACAGAACTTTTTCAGTTTGAGGCTTTTCATGTATTCCAGATTTTATTCTAATAATAAAAACCTAATTATTTCTTTATAGGAAGTTATCACTCAAACTGCCATACCGTATCAGACCATTAGTCTGTCTGTGTGTTACAAAGCTCCAGCCCTGGCTGATGCCAGATGCTTCAAAGGAAGGAAAAAGCCTTGTTCCATAATGTAACCACAAAATCAGTTTGAAAATGTATGATTTAAAAGTAAAACGTCTAATATTACTAGAATAATTGGAACCGCTAACAGAAAGGATTTGGTTACTGCTTTGTGTTGATTCATGAAATTGTATATATCCATGTCTCATTAGGAGGAAATAATGCAATATGAGTCTGCTTCATACAAGTGCTAAGTACTGGCTATATCACAAGAAACTAATGGCAAAAGCCCAGAGTTCTCAATTTTTGCTATTTGAAATGTTGCTATTGACATGTAAACATTCAGCCCATATTTATAAGTCAAAGCACAGCTTCCCCAAGCAAGCCCTTGCACTCTAGCACCTTTCCTCTTATTTGGTTTCAGGCAGAGTATTAATTGTTTTTAATTATTGTTTTTTAAAAGGCAAAAAATCTTTTCACCCAACAAAGCGTTCAAGTGACGTAATCTATATATAGAATGTTCTTCAAGCTAATACTCAGGAAGTGGAATCTGCTATGGAGGATGTCTGCGCGTGGCACAAGTTTATATTCTTCTGCTCTACCTAAGGTAGATGCAAAGCTGAAAATTGTCTTGGCAAGTTAACCTTTTCTAACGCAAGTGCAAAGTTAGTTTCAGCCATAGGCGCAATTCAGCAAAAGCATGAAGGCCTCTTAAAGAAGCGTTCAATGCTACCACAAGGTTCATATTGTCCTTCGCTGCAGCAGAGTTATTGGTGCTATCAATCAGCAGTTTCTCTGTCCTGTTTTGCCACTGTGCTTAGGATGCATCTTCTGAGGGCCTACATTTTACAGCCAGAGTCCTCTCTTTGTCTTATACAGCCTAATTAATTTTAAGCTGCTTCCAAACAGATCCTCCCTACCAGCTCCTTGAAAGAAGTCCTTTATGTGCCCCAGAGGAACCCAAAATATTCACAGGCTATCTATGTGTGCCAAATGGCCTGGGCTCTATTTTTATCTGTGCAGCTCATATAAATCGTGATCCTGGGTCTTACCACTTCCCCTGCCTCATTATGTGTCCTGCCACTGTAACGTCAGGAGGCAAGAATCGCCTCTTACTATTCATTTGTACAGCGCCTAACTGAGCCCCCATCTTTCAGTGCTATAGGCAAAAATAGTCAAAAGGTCATACATACATACAATGTGCTGCTATCATCCTGACCCCTTGCTGTTTTAATTGCAGACTAAGTTATACCAGTCCTGAGTTTTTCCTCAGTAGTATTACACAAGATGAGTAAAGATCTGTCCAGTTCTAAAAAGAATTACAATATCTTGTTAATCAGTATTCTCTTCATAAAAGGCCTTGTTACAAAACAAGCTTAAAAAAGCCCAACCCAACAGGTCTAATTACAGTTCATAAAATCTAATTACATTGAATCTCTTGGTAACAAAACCTGTGGGTTAATCTTCTTCAGTCATTTTATTTTCGCTAGGTGAGGCTGCTATTTGCCATTTTTACAGCTGGGTGGTTTGCAAAGCTGGCCAGTGTTCCTCTCTAGGGATGGGAGTCCAGTGCTCCATGTGTTGCTATTTGGCTGGCCTTTGAAAAGCTGATGGCATCTTATCACCGAGCTGTGGAATTGGGTAAAACCTGTTCGAAGTAGGATCTGACCAGCTGCCTTTCAGAAGGCCGCCCAAGTGTCTCTTCTCAGCGTACTGCACTGCTAGATGGCTCTTCAGTCGTTTGTCTGAAGCCTTCAGATATCTCTTGAGATCTAGTGGATAAACAAGGTTGTACCAGAAAAAAAGAGGTTTGTAAACAAGACACGGTTAGCTATTTGCAGTGGTGGTGTAACGTGAAGTACAACCAGATCTACCTTTCTGCATCGCATAGATTAGAGGACATAAAGCATAATTTTAGTTATGAATCCCAATATTAGCAATCCATGTCACAAAACTCGTTACATGCAATTTAGCACAGATAGCTTTTCTAATTCTCCTTCAACCTGAGAGAGAAATAGTCCTTGTCAGGGCAAGGTTAATACAAATTGATTATGTGGATTGTTAAAACTCTAACCTTTTGACTGATCTAATGTGCATTGTCTCTAAAATGCAAAGGTGATTCAAGTAAAAAAAATTGTGGCATTTTGACATTTTCAATCACCAAAGCATTTGAAAATTGACATAAGGCCATTCTATGCATATGTGGTTTATTTACTAAACTGAAATTAAATTAATCCTAATAAAAATTCAGCAAGAACATTGCTATTATTGTTGTTATTCCTTTTGTTGGGACTGACTTTGTTATTGTGGTGATCATTTATTTTCATATATTACTTTTATTATACTAGCATCTGAAATTGTAGATGGGATCAGGGACCTACTCTGAAAAACTTATCTACACTCAAAATAGCTGAGGTAAAAAAGCAAGCAATGATACGTTCGTAAAGTGTCACCTTGTTGCTGTAAGGCTTTGGTATTCAGTATTCTGTGGTAAGGGTTCGTATAGCACAAGCACTGGGCTGAGATCAGAGACCTGTTGTGCTGTGCACAGAGCAAAAAATGGGGAAGGTTGTGTTTCCTTGGGATCATAAAGGGCCAATTTTTTAGAGTTATTTAGATACCATAAAATGCAAATAAGTGCCTTTGGGGGCGGGTGTAATTTTTTTTAATTAATGATTTAGACAGAAAAAGGGGTACAGTATGAAACAGGATATTAGCAAATTATTAGAAGAACCAGAGCAGAGGGTAAACAGTCCTCTGGACACGGTACCCATCCCTTCCCCTAACTACAAAACCTCTTAGAAAGTGTTAGCTTTCTTCTGTTAAGTAGAGCTGGAAATATTTTCATCAAATACGGTACAAGAGTTATGCTTACAAATATTCTTCTTTTGCAGGTTTCCCCACTCATGGCATTTACCTTTTACAGACCTTGAACATAAAAGAGTGAAGGATTTGAATCTCTATCTGAAGCAGCTCTTAAGTGGATCCAGGAAACTGGCTAACGTAAGCACTTCCAGTATTTATTTTATTTGCATATGACTTTTAGTAGCATTGCACCAAAAGGATCAGGAAGCTTTCCATACCCTCATTTGAAAAAAAAAAAATATTACATGAATAGCCCATCTTCTAATGCATCTGTTTTGAGATGGAGCCGTTGTAGCATTCATCAGAACTTAAGACAAAGACAAGAATGACTGAAAAATAGTTTATTAGTCCTGGCAGGGCATTTTTCAGAATAACTTCTCTTCCTTTGCTGCCATCCAAAAGTAGTGATTCACTGAATTTTTGACAGTAAGGAATAGGTTCTGAGGAATGTAATGGCTAGAAAAGGTAAAGTTTTGAAATATTGAAAAGTCTGATTTTGACAGTTTTTAATGAAAAGTTCCATTCTTTCAGCCCAGAAATACTCTTAAGTTCAAAATTTAGTTAACATGTAGAAGAAATTTTTTTTTGCAAACATAAGACCAAAACCAGAATGTTTCAGTCTTATCAGAATGATACATTTTGTCCATTAAAATTGGTATTTTCTCACTTTTTAATCACTTGTTTTCTAAGATTTTATGTTCTCCTTCTGTTTCAAAATGGAAAGTTGAAATGGTAACAAACACTGATTCTTCATTGTCTGGCCCAGGACAAAGCCTTATGCACCTCAGCATCCTAAAAGCCAAGGCCAAGAGTGACTAACAGGCCCCATGCACCCCAAGAAGAGGTTAAGTTGTTACACTGCATCACTTCAGAAGTTGAATGGTCAATTACTGCTAGCAACACCAGGGTCTGAGAGGAAGGAGCATCTTCCAGTGACCAGCTGTTGTTAGGAAAGCTCTCAGGCAAGAAAAAATGGTGTTTAGATCCTAGGCTTACATAGAGGCTAGCAAATTCAAGGGAGCCAAGACATGAGCTGGTGTGTTGACCCTGCTGTTTCACTGTTGGCACATTCTCTAGCAGAGCTTGGGCCTCTGCCAGGTGAGCCACGTCATGTCCCGTGGCCTCAGGGCCATAGCACAAACTGAGGTTGGTTTGGTTTAATAGCATAGACAGTCTAGGATGCCAAAAGAGGGTATGACAGGATGTTTTTCTCCAAAATTTCAAACATCTTGCAGGAGGAGAAAAATGTTTGCTGCCTAACTATATAACTTTCCCAGCTGTGACTGTGTAATGGAGATTAAAGAGGAAATTGTCCATATGTAAAACAAACAGGAGTTTTCTTATTAATATGGATATAAACTCTGTGCCCTGAGTTGAAATTGAGAAGACTTCCAAAGAGGATACATGGTACCTGTCTCACAGAGTTACGCTTAATTTGGTATGGACAGCGGACTTAGGTACTTGGCTCCCTTGATTGACCTTGCCGAATAAACTGCACAAGTCGGGGTTAATTGTTTTGCAATTTCTGTCACTCACATCAGGGTTGTGGGTTTATTTTATATCAGCGCCTTTTGGTCACAGCTGAGGAAAAAACTGATATAAGCTGGTGACCTAGAAATGAAGAGGTCTCTATCTTCTGCTGTGCTTTGGGCTGCTGTAAGGTACATGGATTTTCAATTTGGGCCAAGCACTGCTGTGTAGAAGACTAATCTGCAGTTGAAAAATTAGACTGCTTAAAGCCCTGGGGTAGTAATAAAAACATTTCCCAGTCAAACACAGAAGGTCTCTTTTCCCTCCTGCTCCATGGTCTGTGAGTAATCAGCCAGAGCATGCTGCCTTGCAATGGGCTTCCTAATGCCCTATCCTCCTCCCTTTATGGTCCTGCAGCACGCACCCGTGGAGCTGGATAACTTCTCCCAGCACGTTGCTGCTGGGACACTGGGACACAACAATGAATTCAGGGTATTTAGAGGGAGCTGTAGGCAGATCTGCTTGGGGACGAATGCTGGTGTGGCTCTGAACCAGCCCAGTGGGCCTCTTCAGACTATGCAGTTGCTGAAAAACATCCCAGTCTGGTACAGCCTACAGTGCTGAACCATGGGGAGGAGAAAACAATTCTGTGCCCAAGAGGGCCGCATAGCTACTGTGCTGCACTTGGAGGGCACGATAATAAATAATGAGCAGATTGTTTCCATCTCTAAAGTGCTGTTGCATGCGGGAAATCATCTTGCTTACCACCATGCAGCGAGCCTGCAATTCTAGATGATAACCTTTAAAGTTATTGATAGTCTATAAACATTGAATCATTATTTTTACTTCAATATGCTTCCCCTGCTGGGAGATGTGAGAAATTTAGAAAATACTGACGTGTTCTGACCCACTTAGAACAAGGAAACCAGTCAGTGGGTAATTTCCTTTGTATTCCCAGCTGAAGGCTTCTTTTTTACTTTTCCCTTTGGTATGACTCTTTTAGAAGTGTCATGGTGTCTTCTTGGTTTTACTCTGAGCAGAAAGCCAAGCTAGGAAGCTTTCTTGATAAAAATAAATACAATTATTTTGTCTCTCTTTGCCCTGGATGACTTTGCAGTCAAAGTTGTACTTTTTCTCAAATTGCTAGGGAGCCTGACTGAAACCATCTAGTGAGTTGTCTGTTCTCAAGCATTACCAAACTGTCATTCCTATGAAATAGTAAAACTATGTAGGAATAAATAATTAAACCAGAAATTTGTGAAGAAATCTTGTAAGAGCAGTTGCCTGTATAACAGGGTTCCCTTTACTTTCTTGACACAGTCATTTCCTTCTGCTGAATTGTACCTGTACGGTATCATAGCTCTGTACACTATGCTGGACTATCGTCTGAGATGGAGAGAAGAGCTTCTATTTGATTACAAAATACCCTTGCTATCACTGTAAACACATTACTCTTATTGACTAGACACCATTTTCAGCTGCAGAAAGTTTAGTCCAGTCCACACAGGACTGACTACATGCTTTGTTCTACCAATTAAGCAATTAAAAATCCCAGAAATAAAGAAAGAATTTGATTATATCCAAACTCCTTCCTCAGTCATGCCTTAAGTGCATGCTTTTTAGTCCAGACTAAGTTCTGATTATGAAAATTGTGTGATAATTAAGAGTAGGTCAGAATGTCACTGCCCTTTTCTGCTAAATGGTTTGAACGAAGGAGGAGAGGTGGAAAAAAGCTGCCTTCTCATTTGCACTGTAGCTCAAATGGAATTAAATGTTTCTTTAAACCCTTCTTTAAAGAATAGAAACTTCAAGCCACCTTTTTCTGTCTCTGAATTTCAGTATCAGATCCAATAAATACAGAAACATCAGCTGATGGAGATATTTGCTGTTGGGCCAGTCTAAATGCTTAAACGTGGTCATGCCCCTCCCTATTTAAAGCAAGTTTTTTAAGTCTGTGGTTTACTTTGAGCATAAGCCTCATTCATGGACTTTGTCTTAGTAATTTGTTGAAGAGCCACCTAGAATAGGAGTGCTTTTCCTAAATTCAGGTTAACACTCAGTTATAAATAGCTACACCACCAGGCTATACACATGAACAACAAGCTATATTCATTACATCAATCACTAAAATGCAAAAGTTGATGCACCTTCATTGTCATATCGAGCCATTTAGGACAGGATCAAAACCAGGTTTCAGCACCTTTTTTTTCGTTCTACTCCTCCCAAACCAGTAGCAATATATGTGATCACATGGTAAGAATATTTAGTTTTGTGCCAGTTGCAACATTGCTGACTGGCTCATCAGCTGCACTCGTTGAAGTGCCTGGGTATTCTAGATCAGCAAGGCAACATACTCAACAGTGTTTAGACTCCTGGAGTTTTGCTTCATTAAATGGCAAAACAACCGAGTGATGGCACCAATAAGAGGTGAAACATCAAGAAACAATAGATTGAAGGTTGGTAACATGGAGGAGGACAAAAATATACATTATCAAAGTATAAATCAAATCTGTGACAAGAGAGCTGCAGCTGACCACTTTTACATTTTTCTCTATTTCACTCGTAACTCCAACTGAGTGATGGGCTGAACGGAGATTGCAGCCCAAATCTCATAACATATCATATAAATTAGGGCTGTCCTGCTGCCTTGTCGTTTTACTGCTGTATTGTAGAAGGGTTGTATACTCCCTGGGGACAAAAAAGCAAGGTAAGGCTCCATAATTTAGTCTGCTCTTGGCCCTGGTGTCAAACACCAGCATTCACAAAGCTGAATGTCTTCATGCTTATCTTGAAAAGGCAACTTGCACCTGGCTTGGGTATTACAAGTGAAAAATCTACAACTGAGTCTAAAGCAAAGTTTTATACAGCAACCGTGTGCATTTGGCACCATCACCCAGCTGATAACATTCTATGTATAATGTTCCCATCTCTCATCATTTAAAAGAAGTGGCATTTAATTTGTGGATATTGTTGTTGATAACACAGCTCAGACACTAGATGTAAATACTGATCTTGCAAAACTACATAGCCTTAAACAAGGGTATGTTATTTGTCCCACATCTTTCACATAGATTTTGGTTCTGTGTGCAAGTTCAGTGGGCTTGGATATTTGAGGGGGTTTGTTTATCATGGGGGGAGCAGTGTTGTCAAACATAATAGTAAGTGCAGGTGCATCAGTAAAAAAGAAATGAGGTATATTGGGTTTTGATTCTATAAAAAATTTCTAAGTTTCCAAATGAACTAATGACTTTGGGGCCAAAGATAACCCTAGTGCAAGCAGGTAAGCAGTGACAGTGTATCAGCTATGGATAGGTTCTGTAAACAGCTTTATGATGACTTACAGGCTGTGTAAAAGGGCTTTAAAGAGGATGTAAATGGAAATGATTGTAAATTATGTTCACTGATTTTCAAGCATATAGTGAAAACCAGGGCCACGGCATTGTTCTAGAGTGACTAATGTTTTGCACTATAAAAGTAATCAAGTTTGATAAGAGCTTCCCATATTTCATTTGTATTTTATACACTGGCAGTAGTTGGGATTTGCAGAGATGAGACAATAGCTCCCGCGGTGCCCGTATGGAGGTACATCACACAGTGGTACAAAGTGCACCTGAGGTATGTGGGTCCCTTAAACTCCCACCGCTCCCGTACTCCTGCAGCAAGGCATCCAGCAGAGCCAAAATGGGGAGGGTTCAAAGTCCTCTCCTTTCCACTGTCCTTTCCTGAAGCTATAATAGCTGCAGCAAGGTCAGCTTTTTCTGGTTTCTTTC